AAGAACCTGTAGGCAGCCTGCAGTACCTGTCCACCTCCTCAGGCACAAAGATGTGTCAGGACTACAAAAAAGGACACTAAGGAGGCAGACTTCAAGGAAAACAAAATAGGGATATAAGTTTCAGCGGGCCAGGATATAAGCCAGCTTCTAAAGGGAAGGTTGGAAAGAAATGACCTTATAGATAGCAAGGTTACTTGACACTCATCCACTCCAAGGATCCTTGCAGTTTACCCTGAGGCACTGAGATCAGCTATTCTTGGTGAAGATACTAGCTTGGACATATCTGGGGCCTGACTCACAGGCAGCTTCTGTGGTTTATATTTACATAATGAAGGCAGTTCATCATGTAAATAGTTAATAGTTACTCCAGATATGAAAGTTATTGAATAGTCTGAAAAAATTAGTATTTTATTTGTTGCTATCTCTTGCAGTTCAGGGTTTTGATAAGTCCAGGGCAGAAACATTGTGTTGAAAAGTTAAAAGAATAAAAAATTGGCCATATGATTACTAGTAAAACAGTAAGTTTTGTAGACATTCAGACCAAAAAACAATCAGGATAACATCTAGTCTAGTTACTTGCATCAAGTAGGTCACAACCTCCCCCAGTAATTTGGTTAAATAGTACCTACTTCTGTCTCAGCTCCACAGCAAAGTATTTAAGATGACAGTTTTAACTTCGAGTGAAGGACCGAATCCCCTTAGGGCAGTTTCTTCTGCACAGAGCTGCTGCATCTTTCATCTTTTCTTCAAGACCATAGTCAATGATGGAAACTAACTGCAGAGGGCTTGCACGTAGTGTTTAACTTTCTTAGCGATAAAATAAATGGAGTAGACCTCATTATTCCCTTAAGACAGCTTTTTTTTTTCTTCTTCTTCTTTTTTCTCTTTTTTTCTTTTCTTTTTTTTCCCTCAGATTATCTTTGTAGAATAAACTGACTTTGGAGTCCTTTTCTCAGCACAACTAAACTTGTGCATGTACCACACGGTAATAGTAACAAGTATTAGAGGCTACCTTCAGGGACTGTTATTCCTCGTGTAGTCTCCTGTTGACTTGGGATATACTGAGTTGTCCGCCAAGCATTGCTTTTCTCAAGGTTAAATAACAATTACAACGCAAACGTAAAACACAGACCATATCACATTAGTATTACTGTAGGGCAATGGCTGGAGAAACAAAATCCACCAGCTAAAACTCTAAGAAACAAAGTCAATAGGAAATATTCTTCCCATGTCAAACAGAAATGAAAGAACATTTATTTGCCAGAATTTTTAGGGATTTTCTCCTTCTCAAGTGAGATTACAAAATCTTAATTACATTATTCTGTCACACAATAATAAGCTGAATTTGTCATCTCATCAAATTTAGCATTACAATTTTGGTTAGCAAAGCAAAGCATTGCTGCATTTTCCCAAAGCGAAGCTGACCAGCATTACCGAGGCTGGCTTGTTATTTACTCATTGTATGGGCAGAGAGCTTTATCTTAATGCTAACTAACAGTCACACAATATGCACTTTTTTTTTTTTTTAAATTTTCCCAGTTTCCCAAGGCAAATTTTAAGATCTGTTCATCATAATTCAGCAAGCTCTTTCCCATCTTTAACACTCATGGATCAATATATTTATGTCAATTTTTAACACTTCTGCATTAATACTTAAAATTAATTTTACTTTTAAAGTTATTATTAAAACTGTGCAGCCTTTATTCAGTAGTAGTAGTAGTTAGAAATCAGCACAAGCTGCTCTGAAGATCCCAATGGATCACTTTTTCAGTCTCATAGAGAAGTCTTAACCAAACCAAGCAGCTGACTCAGTACAGAAACAGAACAGGACAAACCAAACCAGAGCGCTTTTCCTTAGGCTCCAGAGAATCTAAGAATTCTGAAAAACTAAGTACCAGTGGATTCTACTTATACAAAGGTGTAAACTAAAATGTTTTTCTTCCATAAAAAGGGGATACAGTGATCAATTAAGAAGAAAAAAACCCTAAAAAACTACAGCATGTAACACACCTGACCACCTCAGATGCCCATATTTATCCACCATCACACTCCCAGCCCTGTGATCACCATTCTCACAGCTCTAGCCATTACCTCTGCCCTATTTGCAAATGGGCAGCCCCTGGTAAATCAGCTCAAGTCTGGCACTCGCTCTATATGCCAAAGGGACCGAGCACACGTGCTGACAGCCTCCTGAGCTGGGAAGGATGGGAAGAAGCACCTGGCACTGGAACTAATTACATCAGTTCTCTGCGCCCTGAGCTAACATAACCTTTGAATTCATTTTGTGGTTACCTTATTTTAAAATCAGTGAGATATGTTTCTCTCTATGCAGCAGTATACATACATGACAAGACATCCACGCACCTTTATCTACTTTAGCTGAAATTAGTAATATTTAAATTAAAACCAACAAACCAAAAGCCACGTGGCAGCCAATAGAAAAGTAAGAATACACGATGGAGTCCTGAGAGATAAAAATTTATTTATATCTGATCAGCATGTCATGATATGGTCATAACTCATACAGCTGACATTCCCATAGCCAAAAGGACTTTTTCCTTTTTAAAAATACATTTTTTTCTTCCCAGCAGGAAAGATTTTTTTTTTTAAGTTATTTTTAAACAAACTTTTAATATGAGACAGGAATGAATTTACAACATTTCTTCTCAGAACGATGACACAGCCAGTAAGCAGTGGGTCTCCCACGTGTGTCTTCATTTAGATTTCAGGTTTTTCCTCCCCAACTCCCCCACCCCTCACAGGAAAACACCACAAAAAGAAGAGCACAAAGCTCAGAAGGGAAACAAAGAGGTAGACAGAACTTCAGCCACTGCCATTGGCAAGATGCCCTCCTGTGCTGAGGAGTTCCTTGTTGAGTTACATCTCGTGCCGACAGGAAATGCTGCACATGGCAACTGAGCGCTGCGTCAGGGCTGCAGAACGGATGGGGCTGTTCCACTCCACATTGCTTCGCCCAGCTGAAGCTGTTTAAAACCAGACTGTGCTGTTAGATAATAGGTGCATCTGCCAAACGAGCTGGCCTTGCTCACAAGGTTGGACTCCCATCTCTCTTAGGTGGCAGCAGCCTGGGGTCAGTAGGGACCTGGGTTCTGCTCCCAGCATCCCCTGAACTCTTAGGAACTTTGAGGGGAATCATCGCTATGCAGCACCCTGTGCAGAAACTGCAGGCGGAGCACCCACAGTTTCCAGCAGGTACTTGAGCAGAGGAGGGCTGCAGAAATTACTTCCCCCAAACTGCTGCGGCACTCCTCCCCTTACAGCACTGCTGGCACAGAGAGGTTCCTCTGTTTGTCCTTCCCCAGAGCTCCATAACCAATGCTGTCACTTAACGCTCAGCTGCACAGTAAACCATTTTTTCCCCAATATTTGTAGTCTTCATGGGAAGCACAATAGAGACAATAGACTGTGCATCTATTAGATACAAGCACAATAAATACAATCCCCAAACAAAATCACCTCTGCTATTAAGGATTAGAAGCACATGAAATAACCTTAAAAAAAAAAAAAATCAACTTTATTTTGTCACCCCCCCAAAAAAAAGGGAAAACGACACCTAATAGTCTCTGAAGAGAAATGCTTCAAAATGCTTCTTCTGGTACCTGCCTGCAGTTCTGAAAGACATCTTAGCTGCTGGAAATACCTGATAAAAAAATCCAATGAAATAATTCTAGTACAGTGAATCCAACCACAACAGCCCTCTGCACAATCACAGAGTAACTGCACCCATTTGTCATACAGAGCACAGCGTAGCTAACACAGGGGAAGAAGAAAATTGGATGCTAACATAAATGCTATCAAGAAAACTAGCTTTTATCATACAAAACAAACACACTGTAGAGAAACTTTAAAAGAACTCATTCACTGTAAGAGGACAGTTGTTCAGTGTATAACTAAACTTCATTATCCTATGCTTAAATCAAAGATTTAACTTCAAAATACACAGAATCCTTTTAAATCCTTTCTGCATCCCAGGCAGAGAGTCCACAGCTTTTGCACAGAAAAAGTGAAATTGCTCAGAAGTGTTCATAATGTACACAGACTTTTAAAATCAGACAATAGTTTCAGTTTCACTCTTCCAATTGTTCTTAAAAAAAAAAAAACGTGTGAAAGTTATCAAGTATGCAGTTTTGCAAAATAACCCTTTATTTTGTATGGCTCCATTATTTCCAAACAATACAGTACCCAGACGTATCGTTATGTTGTGTGATTGTATCAGACCAGCACACAGCCTCCAGCCTGCAGTCTCAGAACACACCTGCTCCCAGCTCTAAGTCCCTTTGGTTCCAACACTTTATGTCAAGGCAAAGCAGAGCAGCTGAATCTGTCACACACAGTGATCGGTGTATCTGCATTCACTTATACAAACAAAGTTGACAGAGTTAACAGGTTAACAGCACTTAATGGCAAAACACCCAAAACAATTACATCATTTACAAGAAGATGAGTAACGAGCAGTACCACAGCAGTCATTTCAATGCAGCAAGATGCATCCTGTTTTGAGGCTCAGGGTGGAACAGGGAGAAGGAAGCTCTTAATTTTCAGGGGAGTGAGGTTAATTGTAATCTTTCTTTTCAAAATCTGATGAGAGCAACTGAAAAAAAAAATTCCTCCTGCAAGAGTCATCACTGTTGAAACGTGCGGTAATAGCATCATACGTACAATGTAAGAGAATCTGTAAGGAAGGTACACGCTAAGGGCACTAAAATAGAAGTGTTGCTCTTTTTGGAGGGACAGATATTCTTCTTATGATGAAATTCAGTAAGAGCAGGAATGCTAAACCATCGGGACTTGCACTGTTTCCAGTGAAACTTGTTTATGAACAATTAAACAGAGAAACTTACAAATGCTGAGTGCAACCCTGACAGAGAAAGGTGTTTATTCACAACAAACTTGAACCGTTGTGTTCTCACTGGTGTGTGCAACAGCTTTCAATTTATTTTTTTCATCCTGTTGTCAACTTTATACATTCTTCCATGTTATTTCTCCTAACACACATTTAAAATCACAGTAATTAACCATTTTGTGATCAACTGCACGGTTCATAAACATTTTTATCAAATGCAGGTTGAACTCTTCAGAAGAGGAAACCCTTGGATGCAGCAGCACAACACTCGCCCCAGCTGTACCCCTGCCAATGCCAGAAGGTATGACCCAGCTGGAACCCACAGGGATCCAATGTTTTACAAGAGCCTGCCAAGCTCTAGCCTTCACCAGCACAGTGTTTTTAGTGCAGAATTTCCCACATGGTGTTTTTCCCTTAACAGAAAAACTTATTCTGTCATAAAGTAGCATTCAAGTTGATGCTGGGAGGGTACCTTGGATTTTCTTCAGTTTCATCTGTCACCTACAGCAGCTCAGCCGGAGCGAGAGACAACACTGCTTACATATTGCAGTGCAGGTAGGAAAGAGGCCTAAGACCTAATACTATTTACTCAACCTCTCAAAACAACATTCAGTGCTTTCAAACAGATGTCTCACAATAGTGAGAACTATAAAGGAACTAACTGAAAATACACAGGACCAGATAAACCAAAGGATTACCTGAAACATTACTGCGCATTACTAATTTCTTCAGGCAGTGTGTGAACACTAATTATTGACTGCAATCCATTTGAAAAAATACTGCATTGCAAAAAAAAAAAAAAAAAAAGAAAGCATATGCTCTTACATGGAGTTTACTGGGCCTATTACAAACAGCCTCCTGATGCAAGTTACTGCTGTGCAATCTGCTTATATTATCACTCCAGTCTGTTCTATCTCGTATTAAAACAGCTGTAAAATAAGGGCATCTCTGTGCTCTGATCAACCCACTCCGTGGAGGACAGAGATAATTAGCTCACCACCTGCATTTTGCAGTTTTGAGAGTCCATTTGTGCCCAGGTGCTGCAGACTAATCGCTCACACCTGATGGGGCTGCCCCAGAACCTGCCTGGAAAAAGGCAGATGAAATACATTCATCCCATCAGCTGCGATTTAGCAAGAGCAACAGAAAAGAAGTTATGCTCCCTTTTCAGAGCATACCTCTTCTCGAGTGGATTTATGTTATGGCAGCATTCAGGTATGGGGCTAGGTGTAAGACAGGTGGGATTTAGAGACAGCATCTTAAATAAAATATTAAGGCTCTATCTAGATAAATGCTGTCCTTTGCCTTCCCACTGCAGTGATACATAAGTGCATGAGGGGACTCACAGACTGGGGGAACCTGTCATGGCCTATGGTTTCACAGCCATCACAGACCTACTTTAAGATAAAACTGATTTCAGAGAGAAAGAGAAGTGGCAAATTTGACAAAGGGTTTTTCAATTACATCTGGGAAATCAGCACTGCCTCATATTTTAGTATGCTCATCCCGTTCCTCCAAAGGAACCACTGACTGAGTTTGTTTCTGCATGCCACCCACAGATTCATATAGCAGGAGAAGGGTGATCAATATTACTAACTCAGAGCCAAAACCACTGAGGGCTTACTTGATTCTCAGTAAAATCAACATATAAAAGGCAGCATGCCACACCTCAAGTTCTGGCTCTCCTGCTCGTATTTAGAGAGATTAATTTTATTTTAGGAACAGCTATCTCAAATCTGTGTATAATCACACAAAGACAATGCCAACAAGACCAGCCAGGGTCAGGACACACATTGCAAACTCCCTTTTGAAAGTATCTTGTATTATACATCTGAAAATGGAGCTGAACTTCTGGTTTGCCTTTAAAATGAACACATTATTTCATTATGATTTTTAGCATGCTGGTGAGCTAATTAATACTGCCCTTCATATAGTCACTCAGATGATTTACCATTGCTTTTTCTTTTCTTTTGTAGTGATATCCTCACATAGATTCATGGTAGCAATTACACCTACTTTTTTTTTTTAATATGTATTTTTCTAAGAAACTAGTTTTCCTCTGTTATTTCTTAGCAAAACATTAAGATGGTTGGCATTGAATCATTTAAATTCTCCCAAGTACATTTAGTGCTATTGCAACTAGCAGGGGAGAAAAAGGCCTCTATAAACCACTCAAAGGTCACCTTGGTTGGACTGCAGTATACAAAGTACAAAGGTGGCTAAAAATCACCAGCAGCACCAGCAGACCTTCAGAAACAGCTGGCATTGCTCTGGCAATTGGTCAATGCATGGCAGATAAAGCTTTCCCCTACTCCCTCTGTCTTTCTTTCACTGTATTTTCACCTTTAAAAGTGCATTTAGAAAAGTGACAATGATCAACTAGATGTATTCTGAACAAAGGGAGAAACAGATTAAGTGACAAGTATTTTCCAGGCTTCCTCATAATATGAACTACGGGTAGCACACAGAATTTGGTTAGCTGATGGTAAGACCACAGCAGGGATGGGCTGATTCATCAAATATGAATAACTTCTAATCACACTATGATGAGGCAATGCTTTTTTAAGGACTGATTCCTCACAAAACACACCTGAACAGGACCCTGTTGGGGTCTTGGTTTGAGACAACAACTGCTGACTGAGCAGTGGCAAAGATGCTGCCATCAGCTCCGCTGATGTCTCTGGCTCCAGCACAATGAGCTGCAGTAAAGCACACGTTTGTGCAAATGAGGAATCTCTACCACACCAATGCTGCACAGACTACTGAAGAGACAAGTTGCTGAGTTTTCTGAACTCTAACTACAACGCCAAGAAATACTTAGGTGACAGTTTTCTTGTTGCAGACATTCTTCTATGGTGGTTGTACGATTGCACCTTTTGTCCAAATGCTGAATTTGCTTAAGTGTGGGTGAGAGTATACACTTTTTAAAAATACAGACAATTCTTAAAATAATACATCATCAGGTCACTATGTTACTGATCTTCTTCAGTGGAGTTTAAAATTTCTCCAAAGAGAGGTAAGAGTCCGTCCAGTATTCTCCTTTACTCTTGTATACTCACATTTGCACATACAACATGGTACTCATTTGCAAGAGCCTCGATTCCCACTGTGTCCTCAGGTCCCATTCCACTTTTAAAATAGGCAATGATAAAAATACTGTAAGATGCAGTACCACATACCGCCTGACAAGAATGCAAGTGATTGTATGCCGATTAGCCACAGATTGCTGAGGGTCATCTCCCGAGAAACAGCTTTCGTTTGACCCTGCAGTGGAGGAAAAGCTCCTGAAAATGAAAAAAAAAAAGCAATAAAACACCACATTTAATGTATCAGCAGGAATACAGGCTGAGTTCATTACTCTCGACTACTGCTGTCTGCCCCAGCAGCAGTGCACACAATTAATTGGTTACTTTTGTATAATGCTGGCAAATTGATCAAACTAACTAGGTTCTCTGTAAAGCTTTACAACTGTTTGGTAATAATTTTGTATACTGTGAAGTACACATACACTCTCAAGTTTTTTGACTATGAATATCTATACACACATGTACACACACGAGCATATAGTTTTTCTTGCACTAATTTGTATATGTTGTTTGAACATTCATTAGCCAGTCAGTAGTGAAGTGTAAGCAAGGACTTTGATTTGCTACTCTGTTTTCTAGAATGAATTTTTGAAATCCCTATTTGAATTGAGAAGGACTGGCAGGAGATACATTTGATGATTAAAAAATAAGTCAATTCTACCCCATTTTGACTTTTTCTGACTTAAAGCAGTAAATTTTGACTAACTACTTTGGAGCTTTATGATCATGAATGAGTTGTTTGCATATATTTATTTCAGAATATTACATAACCTGTGATGTACGTTAGCAAGATCTACATAGCAAGATGTACAAAGCCTAGGTGATATGACCCACTTTTTTTTGCTGTTAATTCTGAAGAGTAGATGTACAAACTAACTACATCTACAACATTATAGTCACAACTACTTATAGAAGAACAAAGGAGTAAGATTCAAAGAGTAAAGATATAGCAGCATCAATTCTGAATCTTAGAATTCACCCAATTTGTGCAATTAGATACTCTCAGCAATTCATCTCTGTGCTTCCCATCTGCAGTTATTGGAGGAACTGCAACTGAACACTTAAGACAAAGCTTTTCTTTCTGTACGAATGGTCTTACATTAAAAATCTTGATGAGTCCCTTATTCTCTCACTGAGGCATATTTTCACATGTGAGAAGATCTGTCACTAGCAGGTGTTTCTCACCTGCTAGTAATTTTCACTGCTCACCTATTTGTCCGCTCTGTGCTACATTTGCGCTTCTGTGGCCCATTGGTCTTTCCATACGAACGCTGATGGCTGGTTTAACTAACTCTCCTTATCCTGCAGAACTGATAGCAACTGCCTCTTCCCCTTCCTCCTCTCCCAAGCCAACTCATTTTGTTACAAAGAAAGTGATCCTTGACGCTGCTAGACAAGCCAAGCCAAGCACTTTTAGTTGTCATTCATAGGAACAACTTCTCCTTGCCCTTCATCATCTTCCCACTTATTACCTGCCCCTCTTCCCAGTTCAATTCATATTTCTTGAGCTGGATGACAGATCTGTATGCAGAATTTCCAGGTGAGGTTTCAGATTCAGTACAATGGAAAAAGTATTTGTGCAGCACCACTGAAAATACTCTCCTGTTGCCCCATAGGATGACTTTGCTTACTTTTTTTAGTTGCATCACACCAGTTGGCTTGAGATCAGAGCACGAATGAGGAGCATGATGTCTTCAACTATTCATTTCCAATTGATAAGCTCCAAGTTTACAGCGTTGGGTTTTTATTTGTTTTAATTAGTCTCCAAGTGCTAAATGTAATCCCATTTGTGGTACTGCAGTGTTCAAGGTTATCCCGCTCAAGACTTCAGAGCAATCACGCGCGTGCCAACACAAGCTTTCCATTAGCTGCTAGGAATCTGTAAACAGCTTTAACTTCATAAATGAAAGGTGGAAAATGTACTACATGAACAAATGTGACAGTTTCGATATTCAAACTTTTAAGGGCTTTTTTAAAAGTTACTAAATCTTACAGATGTTCCCTAGGTCTATTGAAGTCCTTGATACTTGCAAATACTGAAAAAAATAAATAAACCAAAAAACAACTGGTTTAGGCTTACATTTTTTCTTCTTTCCAATAAAAACACTTCAGAAGAGAGAACGTACAGTACAGAAGGTACTGGTGACAATAGCAGTGACAAGCTTTTGACATTTCAAGTGGAATTAAATGTTATTCCAGCTTAAAACTAATAGTACTCTGACTTCAGACAATGTGTCAGTAAACAGCTGACCTCTGGGAACTGTTGGGATCCCCTTCATGGGACCTCAGTGGGGTTTTCTGCAAATTGCAACAGCTCCTGTTCAGTAAATCATGGCAGCAAAAGAGAACGCAGCCAAGTTCTCAAATGACATAAGTGCTGGTAACTTTTAAGTTATGGTTATTTATGCCTAATAACATTCCACATCACATCACTTACATTTATGATGTCTTAATTAATTCCTGCTTATTACATTGCTGAATTATAGCCAATTATCCTATTTTTGAAGGAGTAAGTCTGATTATATTCATTACGCTTTTTGAAATTCTGGTCTAGTTAGATTTTTAGGTACAATCATTTTATTTTAGTGGTATTCATGAAGTAATGTCTCAACAGCATGGATTCCTGACACCCTATTGACTACACTTTTAAGCAGATTCACAAAGTTATTTGTCTAATATGTGCATTTAGATGCAATGTATATAGTACGGTCTGATTTTTGCCATTCCTGATGGCTGAGGGGCAGCAGTATTTCATACAGCGTTGTACAACTCTGGTTGTTAGAGAATTCAAGCTTTCTAAGTGCTAAAGTGGTAAAATTAAGCATTCAAAATGGAATCAGAACAGTTTTTGCAATAAATCATTTAATAAAAGTAGCATCTTTGTTTTAGCACAGTCACCTCTGAAATACTAAACTCAGTTGATCCAACAGACTTTCTTTTCCTCAGCAGTTGTGGCAATCACTAAGAGATTTGTTTTTTCTTCAAACACAAGTTACCGTATTGGACAATACTGTAACAAGTTGGAGTCTCCCTACTCAGTCAGTATTTTATAACCTTCTTTTCCTATATGTCCAAACAAAACCATTTTTCCCTCTCAGGCTTTTCTTTTTCATTTTTACCTGTTCATTTCCAATGGTGTGTGCTCTGAAAACACACACACCCATTAAATGGATGGAAAAAAAAGAGGCTTCAGGAAACACTTCTCCAGCTCAAGTACTTACCTGATGTTTAAAATCACATTATTTGCCATTATCCCTTCAGTAATGTTATTAATGCCTTACATTTATTTAGATCTCTATGATCCTTCAGCATCCAAAGTATGTTACAACAGAAACGTAGAAGTGACTCAGTGCACCTCACAGCAAGGAGACCAGCAGGCACAGCACAGGGCTGGCACACAGACTCCAGAGACCTCGTGCTACATAATTCACACAGACCCTTCCAAGAACATCTTTCTGTTTTGCCTAACAGGAAACAGAAGACAACTAGGATTTTGCATTACACTTACAGACTACTTAGACCAGTTTTCTCTAACAGTACAAGCGTCAGAGGAAGATGCTAAACAGCAACACAAAGATATAATAAAACTTGCCTCACATAAGAGTCTTACTTAATCACTTTTAATCAAGAATTTGCTCATTATTTAAACCCTGAATATTCCCCTCCAAATGTAAACTCTGAATTCTTTTATTGTGCATGTGAGTGTTCACTGCCTCTCTGAATCTTGCTAAAACACTCCCCTCAATGAAAGCCTCTGGCAGCAAGTTTCACAGCTGAGCAGTTGGGGAAAGAAAGGGATTTCCTTAACTCTATTTTTCACGTCTCAGTTTCCAAATGTCACCTGATTCTCATCTTAGCCAGGCAAATGCTTCTTGAATATTTCTTAGCATAAGTTCTTTTGCCATGTAAAAATGTCAGTAACTATATGTACTGTGTTCATGTTAAAAAAAAAAAAAGCATACACATTCTTAAGTCATCTTGAAATCCTTGTAAGAAAAGACATCATGAAAGCGTAATTCTCTTAGCTAGGCACTTTCCTACCTGTTTCATAGAAATGGGTCAAGAGATCCTCCTTTTCAATGAATCGTTGATACAGCCATTGTGAGAGAGCTTCAGGCTCTGCAGGTACATCTTTAATTGGAAAAATCCTACCAAAGAAGAAAAACACAATTCATTCTTTCGTTTTTTCACAGACCACATAATTATTCAGGATGAAAGAAAGGAATGGTCCAGGCTACCAGCCAGATGATCACAGGAGACACGTGTATTTTAAGTTTGTATCAAATACAATAGTGCAGCATTTGATAGAAGCAATTGTATACTAGGTCTATTTAGAAAGATTCCATGTCCAGGACAGAATTCACTAAGACACATGCAGAGAGAAACTCCCAGCAACCCACTGTACCTCAGCTAACTTTTTTCAAAATACAGTTTTGAAAAAAGTCTTACAATTGTGAAACCATTGCAGCAGACTCAAAATGCCCTTTGGTATATACAAGAGATGCTCTGTATCTGCTGTGTTCCACTGGGAGGCCACTGAAGAAGAAATATGTGCATCAGGCTAGCCTGAAAAAAAAACAGGCTTAAAAACGTAAGACCTTTACATAAGCTTTCTCTTCCCAAGAGACCTCCCACTTAGCCTGTCATCTACGCTACGCTTTGCTTCCATTAGTAGATTTTTCTTTCTTTTTTAAAACATGTACTAAAAAGAATTCGTGACAACAACTCAATCATATGGGAAGTGTCTGGATAGATAAGGGAACTGTAAGCAGAAATAATGGATGTTCTGAAGAATGCTTTTCTTATTTTTACAGTTTTCAACATTCCTGCTTGACTTGTTGCTAAGTCATTTGTACCTCCTCCTTTCATCAGTTTTTTTCATGAAAAAATAATCTGCAATGGAGGAGGCAAGCAGCAAAACATTGATCTGATCAATGAATAAAAAATGATGGCATACAAAGAAAAAATCATTATAAGGAGGCGAACACTTATTTACCCATTATGGCAGCAGTGTTAACTCAGTTCTGTAGCCTTTGTATCAATTCTGCTTACAATGTTCTCAAATAGTTCTCTGTGCCAGAAGTCCTTGGTTCAGGAAGGGTTGGGAGATAGCTGGTGGCCCACTAAATAGCTCACGCTCTTAAGTGTGTACATTAAGAAAATGAAAAAGACAGGTAACGAATAATCTTACCCTGAAGCTCAGATGTTACAGAGCACTTCAAAATTAAACCACAAAAAGGCAAGAGAAAAACATCCCCATGCAAAAGGGGCTGTCTTTGTCGAGGGCTTAACATTTAGACAGACGGCCTCCCTGTCTCCAAGTACTACTGTACTGCCAGGCTCTATTTTTACTCTCTCCTTCCTATCTGGTGTGAAGAGATAAAAGGCCTCAGCAACTGAATATTGCATTTCACAGTGTATTTTTGAAGGACAGATGCTCACTTACACACACTTGAAGATAGTTAAGAATTAACAGAAAGCACGTGTGGGCTCAGGACAGAAGTCTAGGATTACCTGGCCTCAGAAGCATTTTCCAACTCCATAACCTAATTAAGCCTGATATTTTTCCAAAAATATACTCATTGGTCTGCAAACATGATCACAACAGCTAACGAAATGCACGTTAGAAACTATTTATCAGCTGGCACTTCCATGGAGTAGCAAAGTAGTGTAAATGATAAGAGACTAGTGGAGCACAGCATACCAGCCTCCTGCTGGACTCCATCCAGGTCCCTGTACGAATCCACACAGTATTTGAATACAAACTCAAACTTTTAAGAAGGAGCCCTAATTACACCCACTTTGAATGAGTATTAATGCAGCATAGAGAACAACTAGTTTTCCAGTTATGCTACACTGGCTGTTATGATTTATCGGTGACAACTCTTTGTGTATTTTGAAGTATTTTCAAACATAGTTTTAGATTATCTAGGTTTATTTACTTGTTTTCACAAGCACAGCATTCTTACTAATTAGAGATTAAATGTCTAAATCCTCAAACTCTGGAAACTGAACACACCGCCATGTTCTCTGCTCCTCAAACAGCTCCTTTAGGATCATGTTTTAAAAGGAGTTCAGGTCCAGGAAAGCCAACTGAGAAGGTTCTGTGTTACAAAATTCTACACAGATGATCCAAAACCAAAGGCTGGAAGTGCTACTGACTGCAGCAGGTTCATCACCAGCCACTAGCAGATCCGCCAGCTCCAGCCTTCAGAGACACTCTTGTGTCTCTCCTTCTTTCATCCATTAAATGTGAGCTGAAGAAAATAGCTGCAGTTGTACCTCATGCTGTGAGCCTAGAAATCCTCCCCTCAGCTCAGCCACACTTTTATTCCATGAAGTTTTCAGAACACATCTCAGATTGAATAGGGAAAAACATTTATTTTACCATTTTTCTCTGAGCTTCAGTGACTGACACAAGGTACCATTTTTTTCCATCTGCAAAACCTTAAGGAAATCCAGTGATCACAAAGCAAACCAGATACATAACAAGAGCAGAAAAAAATCTTCTTTCAGAGCATCAGATAAACAAGAAATGGTTTCAAGAATTGATACAGCATAAATATCTGAATAAATTAATTTTTTTAGGTAACAGCCAAAGCACTGAACCAGCAGCCTCCAGCACCTGCTGCCTATGTCCTACCCGCCCTGCACTGGTCTCTCTGCAGGGACTTCCCTGGCTCTCCCCACCCCGGGCCCAGCTGGCTGCAACACGGTGACAGAGCTGAGGGGATTCTGTAAAGGACTCTCCAAGTGGATGTTTCTTCCGGTTCCCAAAACACACAACAGCTAATTAGTCTCATGTTGTTAGCATTACAGTGATAAACAATCTATGCTCTTCTTGCCTAGAGTACTGTTCTCTTTGTGGCATCATGCACAAACACAGACAAGCCTACCACAACATTTATTTCTCCACCAGTAGAAAAAAAAACATAGGACCACCACCATTTATATCACATTTCTCAAAGACAAAACTTACTCTTGAACAGCCCCAGCATGTCATCATTTTGCTGTTAGTTACTCCAAGATTAGAAAAGCTGGATCAAAAGTTAGAAGAATGGCTCACATGGAAGATGGTGGCGTCTACTTCTACACACAGAAGTCATTTTCTACTGCCCTGGGCTTTAAGTTTCCTCAGGGACACTTGCACTGTGAGTGCCCATCCCTTCTGAATGCTGCACCTCAAACTCACGATGAAGTGTCTATGCGCAAAGAAACTAAAGCTCTTAACTTTTGCTACATTCTTCCCTACCCTTGGACACAGAACAGGATATGTAAGTACAGTTACCTTCATCAGTGTAATTTGCATTCTTGTGTTTCCAGTACCAAAAATTGCTTGCCCTCATCTAACAAGGATGCAGTTGGCAGCTGTCCCGCATTCTGAACAGAACATTCCCTTTAGGAGAGCCTCCTCCACCCAAAGCAGCAGCCTGCCAGCCGTGCTCTCACCTGTGACAGTGCTGCTCAGCGCCTGCAGTCACGCCAAGCACCCAACCAGATGGCAAGGGGTTTGCTTTCCATCACAGAGGAAAGAGCAAAACAAAGAGAAAGCAGAAGACCACCCGGTACTGACAGATTTATCATTAATGTCAGCAGCATCTGCATGTACCAAGAAATGTATTAAGATTACAAACCAAATAAAACAATTACTGTGATATTTTGACACACAGAGAGGTGGAAGAGCCAAAAGAGCTTTATGGAAAAAACAACTAGCTGAAACACCTGCAAAAATACACTGCAGAAAGAAAAGAACAGGAAGATACAGTGAGGATAATTACCTTAGCCTCTACAACTACAGACCAATTTAATGACACATTTCAAGATAACGTATGCTTCTTCTTAAAAGCTAACAAACAATTTTCAGAACTATGGCATTTTCAGGAACATTTAAGTCATATTAAATAGTCCTTATCAGAGACAACCTCTAATTCTGTATTAAAATGGAAAAAGTTCACAGACACCACCTTTCAGTACTAATTGTCTTTCATCATCTGTCCTATCTTGAATTAAATTTACTATCCCCCTACTCTTCCTAAACTTTACTTGCTGCTTCAATGGCTCTTCAGTGTGATGGAGGTCACTGGTATGTCTCAGACACCTCCAAAAATAAGTTACTTGCGTAAAAAAGCATATTAAAATCTACTGCAGAACTGGATGCCCTTCACAGACATTTCTGCAAAACTCATTCAGCAACCACAATATATTCCATTTTATTTATAGCTAAGAGTCTAAGCTTATTTTAATAAATCTGTATTCACGTAGAGACAGAAAAAGAGCTTCCTCAGTAGTTGAAAGCTTGTTTCAACAGCAGCACAGTACAAAAGCTGGTACGATAAGGAAAGGTGACACAGTTCTTATCTGCATTACGGCACCAGGACAGCTGAGCTGGCTCAAAATTAAGTGGTGCCTTCATGCAGTGTGAACACAGCTACCTGCTCTGCTGGAATGAGGGCTGTGGCTGGCTGTGCCTGTGGGCTCTGCACCACCCTCACTGGAGCACTGGGCAAGCAGGGATATGATCATATGAGGTGGGGGAGCTAACGCAAAATGAGCCCTAAGCCATTCTTTACTGATTTGCTCCTTTCCATGGTGCTTAGTGCCCTAATAGATGACCTCCCTAATTTCATCCAAACTCCAGCAATGTTTGACCTGGAAAAAGTTAATGAAATATTCTCCCTGATTCTTAGTTTCTGAAAGCAAAAGCCATTTTTCAGCACTATCCTGTGAGTTTTGATGAAAGTCTGCCACGGTCAAATTTAATTGAGATCTCACACCTTTGTATTTTGAAGAATCAGGTCTGGTGATTGCCTATTATTTTCATTTTGTTGTGTTGGGTTTTTTTAAGGAAAGTTTCTTTTGAGGAAAAGTGAGGCTACAGCTTAGCCTAATGATGAGCTTTTTGAAAGTAACTTGTACAAGAAATTGGTGAAAAGCAAGCTTTAACTCATTTACCAAAATTCAAGCTGTCAATCAAGAATGACCACAGGATTAAAATGAACTTTCTCTGCCATTTCCATCAGTTAAAAAAGCATCTAAAAGTGAAAAAATGAGGCTGGTCGCTGTGTCCTCTACACTCCTGCTGCTGCTCCCTAAGTAGGATGAAAGAGAAACAGACCTGTATGAAAGGACAGGCTATGAGAAAAGAAAAACACCAGATCCGAAAGACAGCAAGGCATAGACTGCTTGTGACCACGAGGAACAGCAGACAGCACCATGTGAACGGCTGGAACAGAGGCAGCTCTGCAGCAAGCTCTTCCTCTGCTTCATAATGAGCAGCACAGAAAGTGATGTAAACAGCAGTAGGAAAGCAAAATCATTTCAACTGGCACACAGTGTTTGGTGGTGGGGTGTTGTTTTGTTGTTCTTGTTGTTTTCCCCAGAACAACTTCTGATTAAGATCTGATGCAGCAATGGGGTCAAGCCATCACCACATTTGGATTGTGAGGACATAACCTAGGAGGCTCTAGAGAGTCATGAGAGAGCTCATGCTGATAACTTCAAAAATAAGCTTTAATTAATTGGTGTCAATTATCTGCCTGCTCAATGCTGGGGAAGGTTTGGTCAAGTGACAGCAGAGCTGTACTGTTTTCTTTCCTTCCAGAAACCCTTTGGAAGAGTAATTTTGTTTCTTACTCTTTCCTATCCAACAGCCCCTTTCCCAAGCACTTTGCAGGTTCTCAGTGGTCCCAACAACTTTGTTCATATCACAAATCTACCATTTCAAGTGATTAAAACACTGAAGGCATCCATAAGATCACAAACAAAATAAAGGATCACTTGCTCATATCTCCTGAATGGAACCTAACTGAAAAGCAGTAAAGAAAGATGATGCAGCACGAGTGAACTCACCTGCACCCATAATTCAGTTGCTTTCTGCTAATTCTGCCATCAATAAATATATCCTTTACATACAACAGACTTTCAAAGGTACATGAAAATATCTAAAAATAAGTTTCATTATCATATTGTAGGTGAAAATTCATTTTAGACTGCAGCTCTAGTCCCAGATACATTAAAAGTTCTTAGCATATCAGAGAAGAATGATATGGTAAGCCTAAAAAATGGATAAAAATGATGTGACAGTTTTCTAGAACAGAATTATTCTGAATAGTCAAAGAGAATCAAAGAGAAGAGCTGCAGAAGGACCTGACAATGGCTGCAGATGAAATAAAATGTACCAGATAAAATGACATCTCATACAAATTAGGGTGTACGTTCATTTTGAGAAACTTGAAGACAGATTTCTATAAAAAGCAGGACTGATTCAAACATGGCTTTGGAAAACAGCTCCAGTAAGCATCGTGTACTGCACACTGCACAAGGTCATTCCCAGGGGATCCACACAAGGAGATCTGAAAGCTTACTGTAAAAGCCCAGAAGCTGAGTTGTTGACAGAAGGGAATTAACAGAAAAATCACACAATTCTGTGAGAAAAATGTGATAAACCATATCCCTCAGTACCACATTTCCACATTTCTTGGTGACTCCAACACCTCCCTGGGCAGCCTGTGCCACTGCCTCATTGCTATTTCTGAGAAAAGGTGTTTCCTAATATCCAACCTGAACCTCTCCTGATGCAACTTGAGGCTATTAGTTCTTGTCCTGATACAGCTTCCCCAGGAACAAACTGAGAAAGCTCCTGAAAGCAGGACTTGGGGTGACTTCTTGTCCTAGTTGCCAGGTTTTAACATTTTTAGAGCGAAAATCATTTTGGTACCATCTGTAGTGGACACCAAACTATTTATTTTACAAAAAGATGAGATCAGTAAGTTTACTAAAGTAAACTGCAAGCTAAATTTAAAAAAAGTAATCCACTGGAAGATTAAAAAGCTCTGTGGGAGAAGCAACTTCCTTTCATCCCCAAGATACACGGTGTGTTCTTACTTACATTTCTGATAAGGAGAGGGAGTCTTTAGATTTCTGATTGTTTCACAGTACCCAGGTAGGCTGCTTTATACATCAATAAGCGAAATATGTCATCTAGGTATTATACTCTTATGAAACATTACAACAGGATTCCTTTATTTGCTTTGATAATGCTTTGGAGCAGATGCTCAATGGAAGCATGTAAAACGAAAAGTAGTCTTGGATTAGATGGACCTCCTTTTTGACCTAAGAGCATCTGCTGTTTTATTTTGGCTAATATGAACAAATAATATAGGAGCTAAATAGACTCCCAGCCTTTTCATTGAACCACGCAACTGCACTGCTGAGGTTATCAAGCAGAAGTGGAGAGCTGGAATATGTGACCCTCCAGGCAGCATTTATTCCCTCCACTCCCCTTCAGAAACAGTGCCATCCCCCTTGCTCAGGGTTTCCTACTCTGTTCAAGCTGCTCCAAACTCCAAGGAGCAGGGCAGCCTCAGGTTTCCCTTAGAAACTGCACATTTTCCAGGTGATAAAGCCTGTAGCACTGCTGTGAAAAAAAAAAGTTCCCATGTTATCACCTCCAGACTCTGTATAGGGCCTATAGGAATTTCCCCGAAAAAAAAAACAACACTCCTTTAGCTGCTGATTGAACTCCTGAGTATATGGTGACTGGAGAGGGTAGAGGGAGAAGCTTGGGAAAGAATGAGAAGTAACAGTAAGGAAATCGTTTGTCAGCTACTGCCAAGACACAGTCATTAAAAAATACCTAAAAACATCCATATATACTCCATTACAATATTTAACCATCAGACAGTAGGAAAAAATTTCAACATGCTAAGACAGACCAAACTTTTCAAAAGAAAGCTGTGTTTATATACTCAGTTGCCTAAACGTATAAGAAAAAAAGACACTGATACTGCTGTTGATTTCCTATATCTTGAAATATACTGTTATTAACTTCTGAGATGGTTTACTTCTTGTTGTTGTTTGTTTGTCTTTTGGGTTTTTTCTTTTTAGCACTTTAGTTCAGTGTAAGAACAGAAAGTTTATTTCCTACCTGTAGTGTACATGTGTGACTGTTGGTTGTCGGTAGCCAAGAATCCAGGTTTGGATGTCTATAGGTTCACCTTTGGGATATGCAATGGTTGTATCTATCACCCACTGGAGACCTTTTGATTTGCTCTCTAGAATTAAAAAGAAATACTGTATTAAAATTCACCAGAAAGCATATGCCACTTGATTTGATAGTTATTCCATTTTTAGTTTACTTTAAGAGGTATGAGGCACAAATATAGCTTAAAAAAGTGACAAAATAAGACAGCTAAGAATCAAATCTAGATTTCATTACAGAGCACAGAAATATTCTTACAAACTTCAGCAAGATTCAGATTTTATTTTCATGGTTGTTTCTGTTGTGTGTATGTACTGTAGCACACAGAAATCAGCAACTCTGCTCATTGGTTACAGTCATATGGTTCCTGGTTATTGGCTCAAATCTTAGGAGCTTCCCCCATCCCCCAGAAGAAGAACTTCAGCATAAAAATCCAACTGTTTTGACCCACAACAGCCATGCAGAGCCCTTTGGGCAACTGCCTCACTGCTGGGGTAGGGCAAATAGATAAAGGTGACATATGTTACACAACACAGATGGATTTTCAAAGGCAGTTAAAAAAAAACAAAGCAAAAGACCTCAAAGGTTCTTGAATAGTTGAGTTACAGGAGAAAGAGGGAAAAACAGACACTGTGTATGAAGGGCAAGCAAGCAACGAATAGGAAAAGATGATCAGTGCTCACAATGGAGATTCCATCCATGAGGTCTCTGGCAGACTGACTGACCCCACTGTGTGCCCATGCACTTACCAAAATATTCAAAATGAGGAGGTGAAAACGATGCATCAAATCTAAGCCGTAATGTAAGCTACTATCAGCAGTAGTCAAGGGCAGACATCAGCCTAGCTGTGACCTCTCTCTGCTCTTTCATCAATCCATCTGGCACATCTTCAACCCACAGATTTGCCAAGAGGGAGGGCAGCATACCTGGAAAGCGAGCCAAGGAGGGGGCACAGTGCCAGACAGCATTTGGAGTTCAGTTGTCAATTTTATTCTGTGGGAACCAGTCATGCCTTGCACCTGAGGTCACATTATGCTCAGGCTTGTAGAGCAGGATATGTTTACATCGTACCCAGCGGTATTGTACAGAGTTTTTAAAAAGCTGATGATTTTAAAAACAATCATCTGTTGGCAAAAGTAAGAGCTGTTATGTACCAGTACAAAGTGCAAGACTCTTCAAGCCTGCAACTGAGATACCTAAAGAGGAATGACCCTTCGTGCAGAGGGGCCTGCCTTGCCAACTGTTGGGTTCAGGAGGAAACTGGACCAGGTATATGGAAGATGTCCATTGGAGAGCTAAATCAACAGACAGAAGCGCCCATCTGGCTCAGCTTAGGAAATGTGCTACACTGAAACAGTCAGAAACTAGGAGAATATGAGAGAAATGCAGTAGGAGAAGCACGATGTACGTTTACTCTGTTTGTGGTTCTCCTGCAGTATGCTCTTACAACCACAGAGAAGATTTGGGGCTAGATAGATGTATGGTCTCATCCAAAGTCACCATTCAAGTTTTACTGCACACACAAAGAAAACTGCAGCGCAGACTGAGGCACACTAAGAGCTGCAGTTATTAACACCAACTGGAGCGTACCTGGCCTGACAAGGACTGACTCACAGGTTTCTACCTGTATTGCATTTGCATTTAACTTAAGTGCAAGAAGACATGTACAGCAACACTATCTCCTGTATCTATCAAATATTTTAAAATGCCAGCAGTGCTGCCACAGTGTCTAACCAACAATGGAGCTGTACCACTTCATTCCAAATGCAAATGTGCTCCCTGAGTCAGGCTAGACAGTATTTCACAATACTTAGCTCAGAAGTGAACAGCAGCATGCAATATATGGTTCCAAAATTTGATAATGTGCAAGATACACAGGTCAGGCTGAAACACTATTCAGAAATGGTGACAGGCACACAAAGTGAGTGCAGGAGGTACCAGCGGAGGCTCCAGGCCAGGATCATGGCAAAGTGGTTGTCATATCTCTGGTAAGAAAAGCACTAAGTGCAGAGTCCTTCATTTTAAATGAAACAATGTATTAGAGAAAAGCCAATATGAAATTAATAGTAAACTCACATAAGTATTCATTTGGAAATGGATTTCAGAACAAGGCCATTCAATTTATCATTTTCCCAGATGTAAAGAGAGAATGGATGAAGACAAGTAAATTGTCTGAGTAAGCAACAAAGATCATTAATTGTAATTAAAAGGTGCCAAATGAATATGGAAGCATTATCTTATTATTTACAGTAAAATGTTTTTAAATCGTCTATTAAATATTTAGCTACTATTTCAGACTGTTCTTTCAGTGATAATGGTTCAAACTTCTTTATGGGAAGACTACTGTGGCCCTTCTCGTTGCTGATTTCTTACCTTCAACATTTTGTGAGGCAAAGCTGCTGCATGGATTCCTCACATCAGCTCCAGCCTCGCCTCCAACCCCTTCCAGGGCAGGGAAAAACCTGCCTGACAGTCTACCAGGAACCCCACGTTCAAAACACAAAGTTCTGAACGTTCAGTCTCCAGAAGCAAGCAAGCAGGTCTTACTGCAGCCACCTCCACAGGCAATTTACGAAGACACATTATCAAATCACAGTCATTGACATATTTCAGCATACCCTGGTTTAAAATAAGCCTTGCATAATCCATCCAACCTCTCATGCTGTTTAAAAAAAGCTTAAATCACCAAGGATTTGGAGAAAATTAATTCTGAAATTAATCTCACTGTCCTCTCTAGGAGGCATCTGTATTTTTAAAGTCACAAAGGTCTGGCATATCCTGAAAACGGAGAGACAACTGCAGCAACACAAAGGGGTAGGATCTCTTAATCTCTGAGGATGCTGCTCTTGGGCCTAACCAGACCTTTGAACAAGCTCAGGACAGACTGCTACCCAAGTTATAATACAGTGTGACTTTCAGGTCTGATATCTGGAGAAAGGCAGGCATCAAGCACACCTGTTCCAGGTGTTCCTCTTGCCAAGCCTGGCTTTGCCAAACAGCCACAGATGTTCTGAACGCCCAACCTCCATTAAAAGACACCCTCATCCTTCATTTCTAGTACCTGCTGAAAGACTGAGCAGCCTGACTGCCAGAGGCTTCAGCAACACTAACAGCTGCAGAGGCCAAATTTAAGCTGATCTCTCTGAGGACTGATGTTTCTTCCGTAGTGCTTGGGGAAAGTGTCAGCCTGCTTGCCACCTTCAGCACAGGTGGACAATTTTGAATTCTCAAATCACCCGTAAATGCCATCAGTGATGCTTTTTGAGTTGTTCATAAATGTTCAGAACCATCCTGCAGGGCCTGTCCTGCACAGTGGTACCCAAACCACACAAAAACAACGTACCTTAATATCACTGCTGTGTACTTGTCTTGTGAGTGCTAAGAGAAAAAAACATTCAAAGACTGAACAACCACATGTAGTGATTGTTTTCTAGTATAGACAAAAAATAAACAAGTCTCCAAACTTGTGTTCCCACCCCCTTTAAGTTGTCACCAAAAGCAAATCTTTGTAACTGTTTTGCTGTATTTTTAACTCGTTCTGCAGCAGTGGTAAACTGCTTTTTATTTAGCTCAGGCAGATTCTTCAAGATATAGCATGGTCTGTGTTGCTCTCACAGCAGACACTTGACTGTCTACAATCAGAAATGTATTGGAATTCAAAGTTCCTTGCTGTCCCCTCCGTTTCTAGCCTGGGGTTACCCTCAGCCAACACCACAATCTGCATCTGACTATGAGCAGGGCCCTCCAAACCCACCAGCAGACCATCAACATTTACCACTGGGAAAGAGTAAGCTACAAAGAGATGTAAGAGGCTGTAGTAGGAAACACTGCCTCCAGCCAAGCTCTGGGATACTCAGAGTAGGAAAGCACCAACAGTGAACCTGGGGACTGCAGTTTCCATTTAAAGAAAATATTTACTAGCATTCACTGGTGTTTAGGTGTGGCTTTTTGAGCAGCTTACATCACTCTACACTCAGCCAAAAGAGGCTGTTGCCTCTCCCACAGAGCAGCAATTCCTGCCATTTCCCTCCGCTCATTGGTCTTCTAGTGATCAGCTGGACCACTGGCCTCAACATTAACTCTTTCCTCAGAGATTAGATGATCTCAGGCAGAACATCTTATTCATCATCCCAGGATCTCTTGGCAACAAGCTACCTGTGAACAAAACCAGAAGCCCCTTTCCAGGACTAAAAAACCCAAACAACAAAACCTTCCCACACATTACTCAAGTCACATTCCTCAAAAAACAGTGAATCAAGAAGTGTGAGTTAGAAAAATGAGTTGTGAAGTCCAGCATCCAGCTCTGCAGCAAACAGAAAACCATCAGAATTGTACGTTCTGTGCTACATTTGAGAACAGTAGGATAAGATTTCAATATGGCTGTGGTCAAGCTCATGTCATTCTCTTATCAGACAAAATTACTGTCAGGTGAAATAAAACAGGATTAAAAAGTATCCTAAGGAATGGCTCATCACAAATCAGCTCTGCAGTGTATATCTTCAGTGAGCAATTCCTCCTAACTCCTTTGAATTGCCAGCTGTTCATTGTAAGAGTTGGATCTTCATACATCACAACAACAACAAAAAGCAAAACCAGTTTGATTTTTACCAGATGATTTCACTCATCCTAAAGCTCACAGGATGACCAATTCTTTCACCTGAGGAAACACTTGCAAGTACAGCCTAGGTGTCTGGTAAAGAAAGTAAAGAAAAAACAAAACTAACAAAATCACTGTAAAGCAATTTAACGAAAAGAAGGTGACCTCTAATCATCATTAAGAAAGCTCGGAAGTAACAAAAAAGACTGGGGGAAGGACAAATAACGGAGAAGAAAGCTTATTATAGCATGCTAAATAATACAGTTCAGAGCACATGAGAAGTAGTGCAGAAGAGAAATGTTTTTGCTGAACCATGAAGTTCAAATGCAGTAGTATAACAAAAAAGCTGTAACAAAAAAGTATAACAATACTAAAACAGAAAAGCCACTTCCCAAAGCAAAGGATTGCAGGAACGAAGTACAAAAACGTACACACAATTCTTATGCATGGTACTGGTGAAGCCATAACTGTACATTCTCTGTTTAGCTCTGGCAGCCACAGCCAGAGGAAGGCAAACTACAGAAGATACAGGCAAGTCTGATTTCACTGTGCCAGGTTTCTTCATGTAGTTAAAAAAAAAAAAAAAAAAGGATAAGTAAAACAGAAAAAGATGACCACTACCTTTTAAGACTTTCTACAGTAACCTTGTAAATTTATAAAATTATATTTCATTCAACTGAACAAATATTTCTGAATTTTCTGAAGGGCAAGCGTAAAGTAAAAGCAGTTGGAAGGCAGAATATTAGAGGAAGAGCCTTTGATAACATTGTACAGACCAAGAGTTAAACCTCCATACCTCTCTGGAAAGGAATTTTTACTGTGATAGAAACATTTTTGTGAGAGAACGTAAAAAAGCTCAGCTTCACACATGCTAAATATTACTCTTTCCTAGCATACAACATTTATTTTCACTTCTCTTTTTCATCTTTTTTTTTTTTTTTATTTAAATGTTTTCATATCTACTACTTTTTTCACTTTAAAATAGGGGTAGCTAGAAAGCAAACGTTCTCCTCCTACTTCTCTGTTTCTCTTTCCATCTGCCTTTTCAGTAGGATGAGTAGGTGGGTTTTTCATTGTGTCTGAGGTGATTGGTTTATTTTATTACCCAAATTGGTCAACAATTATCAGAAGCTCATTTCTCATGAGTCTGAATCATGCCACTCAAAAACAAGTAAGGAAACAATAACAACAAGGAAAATCAAACAAAAACAAAGAAAACCAGTGCTGCTTGATGTTTAGTCAATATCAATCAACATGAGGACAAGAACATAAAGCAGTTACTTTGGCAAGTGCCTTTGGTTCCCCTCCAGAACTAGATGACCTGTAATTCCTTAGGGAAACTTCTTATTTTCATACCTTGTTGCCTTTGAGAGCAGAAGCAGCAGAACAGATCAAACTTTCGCCCTTAAAAAACTTTATTTGAACAAAGAGTTTTTCTTTTTCTTTTTTTTTCTTCTTATTGAAGAACCTTCAATATTCTATGAAAATGAGGGCTTTCTTGAGTCTGTCTTTTCTGAATGTAGGAAACATTTTTATGCATTCCACAGCTTGAGTTTCATTTAATTTAAAATCTTCCCTCCTCCAAGAGTATCATCTTCATTCATTTCCTATGTTGACAAGATTTGCTTCTAAACTAAAAATCTGGAAGCAATTTCTGTTTCAAGCTTCCTGCTAACCCTGAAGGTTGAACTTAAGCAGAGAAAAAAACCCACTTGTGGCTTCATTAGGATTGATTTTTGCTTCTAAATGAGTACAACTGCTAAATGATTATAATAATTTTGGTATGGAAATACCAGCATCACCCACCAATAAGAAAACAATAGAAGTCCCCAATCCTCTGTTCCTGTAAGAAGTAAAAGAAACCCACAACTAGGCTCAATAAAATCCAACTCCACTGTCTGAAAGTGCCAAGAAGCGCATATGAAAAACTGAGCGACTAAAAGCACGCAGTCCCATAACTACAGGCATTACTTACATCACTTACATCCCAACTATCCTCTCCCCTGCAGCACCCCACAACAACAATGCTGCAAGAATATTTTTGACCCCTTGCAACTCCCAGTTACAGGCCCCAAACAACCTTTCAAATCCAGTCAGTGACAGCATAACCTCCAGCAACAAAGATGACAGCATCTTAAAATAATGATAAAATAATTAAATATAATAATATTAAAATAAAATATAATAATAAAAGCACTTGAACTCGATAGTTCAAGAAGAACGAAGTATGCAGCACCAGAATTCAAAGAAACTTCAAAAAACAGAAATTAAGATTTAAATATTGCTTGTTCTATATTCCAGAAATACTTGTACTGTAGCCCCATAGCAACATAAAGCAGCACAAACCACCACCCTGCTGAACAGAGGAGCCCCAAGTTCTTGCTCACTCTCATTCCAGTATCTGCTCTATCCACTGCTTGTGCTGAGACAAGCATTCATGCAGTCACACTAAATCAAATGGAAGCTAACATGTTTGGTTTTTGTCTCAACATCAAAGATACAGTGAAAAATGAAAACATTTATATAAATATGATGGTGAATGATGGGCATATTTGACATTTTGAGAGACAAATTCAACTCTCAAAAGGTTTTGTTTAATAACATAAATATCCGGGGCATTCACTTTTCTTTCTATGTGATCTTTACCTTTTATCACAGCATCTCCACCTGCAGGAGTTCCATTTTCTTGTGGAGCCACAAGCGTTTTCAGAATCACTTGAGTTGCCCCGAGTCTTGGTAGGGTGACATGCTGAAGAAATGGCAAATTGTTTTTCTTGGCAAAAGCCTGGCTTGTTTCCCTCCTTTTCCTAAGAAAGCCACCCTCTGGAAATAAAACAATCCATTTCCGATTGCGGCTCCGGTAATACTTTTCTAGGTGCTCCTTGAGTAACACAAGCTGCTGGTCACGGTGTGCTTTTCCCTAGAAGAACAGAACACTGACTAAATAAAATGAATGCTTAAACGATACAACATGTGCCAGGTAATTGGTACATTTCCAAGATTTCCATCCATTTTCAGAGATGCAAATAAGCCTCTGCAACAACACAAAATAATCACAGAACCATTAAGGTTGAAAAAGATCACCACCTAGTCCAGCCATCAACCCACACCCACTGACCACGTCCCTCAGTGCCACATCTCTACGTTCTCTGAACACCCCCAGGGATGGTGACTCCACCACCTCCCTGGGCAGCTTGTGCCACTGCCTCCCCGCTATTTCTGAGAATGTTTCCTAATACCCAACCTGAACCTTCTCTGGTGCAACTTGAGGCCATCCCCTCTCATCATATCACTAGATACGTGAGAGGAGGATGTTGATCCCCGCTTTGCCACCACCTGCTTTCTGGCAGGTGTAGAAAGCAGTAAGATCTCCCCTGAGCCTCCTCTTCTTCACACTCAACAACACCAGCTCCCTCAGCTGCTCCCCTAAGACTTGTGTTCCAGCCCCTCACAGCTCTGTTGCCCTTCTTTAGACAATGTTCTCCTCAGAGTACCCACTGTTTGCCTGGTAAATGCCACTTCACAAATAAAAATACCCTTGTGAGGGAGGATGAAAGTCTCTGATGACTTCTCTGCAGGAGTGATGTCCAGACAGTGACCAGGTACTCTATGTACCAGAGGCACGGACTCACAGAGTTCCCTGGTGAATTCATTAAACTGAATTCTGCAAATGCAAACTGGGTCAAGCTGTTCTTTCAAGGTCCCATACTATCAGTACGTTCTGCAAGCCAAGAGTAACTTTGCAGGCATCACCTTCCACACACCTCTACCCTCAGGACCAGTGCAGGTGACAGAAGCCAGAGCAGGACAGCAGTTTGACAATTAGCAGTATATAGGATATAGCTAGGTAATAATTAAACCCAAAGGACTAAAGGTAGGGAAAAAAGCCTCATTAATTTCTCCCCTTTAATGTACTAGGACAACTATTTCCACTTAAGACAATAAGATTTGACCTTAATTACTGCAAAAATACCAACAGAATCTTCAGCAACAGTTTTCTCTCCTTTCAGCTTCACACAGTAAAAGCAAGCCATCCAAATTTTCACAGGCAGGAATTTACATCAATTAGCGTTACAAGGGCTCTGAAAGTTCAAGGTAATTGTCACAAACACCTTTCTCCCTGTGCTTTTTTTTTTTTTTTTTTTTAAACTCTTGGGAGGAAGGGAAGTGGAAGGAGTGAGGTTGATTGAAGACAAGAAACAGTATTTTATCAATGGTAAGTTTTGCGAAAGAGTTCCTACCAGATTTTCGTATCTCACCACTGCAATTATTTGCAACATAACCTCATGAAAAAGGAGGAATGAGCTCTGTCTGCTCATAGTTATGAAATTAAAGATCAATATAAAAGTTCCTCAGTTAAAATAATTCTTTGACACCAGATCAATAGACTCCAGGATAGCAAAGTAGTTGCAAAGTAGAAAAGGGCAGCGAACAATACATTTTTTGCAAGTGAAATATTACAACTTCCCCAAACCTAGACATACTTAGCAAATATGGCAGGTGCATAAACTGAAGTTTAGCAAACGCTGTGAGGTTTAAGATGTGGCTGTAATACAGAAAAATCTACCAAGCTAAAGGGAAAGAAAGCAGAGAAAAGTACCCATGACAACTGGTGGATCAGCGGAGAGTCCTGGAACACAAATGCACTTAACATCCTATCCAGCAAGAAGTCTCACAAAGGAGAAACTCCTCAGTGTGACCAATTCTTGAAGGTCATGGCTAGCTGCTGGTATCATGGAGAACAATCTCAGCTACCTTTCCTTTAGAGGAAAGAAAGCAGGTAGCAGCAGATTGCTGACATTCTTCAGGGTGCCCTGCACTTTGCATCATCACTACAGCAAGTTACAGACAGTCTCAGTTTCTAGAAAACTTCTCAATGGGAGAAGAGCAAGCACCAGTCAGTCTCTAGCAGACATCAGAAGCATTCCTGAGCTGTTGTTGCTGCTCACGGAAAGGAGGCTAACACACCTTTTTAAACCAATGGGCTGCATGGTGCTGTGATCAAACTACATTATTTCACAGAAAAAGACAAAACAAAACAAGTATTTGCTCATCCAAATATTAATAGGGCCTTTCTAAAATTAGGTAAGATTGTTACTCATCCCAAGTATTTTAGCTTTTTATCAACGGGAAAAATAATCAAACGTTTCAGCAACATCCTATTTTCATGCAGTCTAAAAGACACGATGACATGATTTTGTGTGTGATGTTGCAGACTTCAGTCACTTCACAGAAAAAGAGGAAGAGTTCTTTTTTCAGCTCAGTAACAGTTCAGCTTCATAACTGGAACTGCAACAACGCATTCAGAAATTATATTTAACAAACTGACAGCCATGTGTACCTCAAAATATGTATTTTGTGAATTTAACTACTGAAATGGATTTATATTTATGAAGTGTCCCCGTTCTTTTCTGTACTCTCCCAGTACGTTATCGTCTCTCTCTAGAGACCTTCATTTTGTCTTGATGTGGTGGTTTGATGTTTTCTACACTTGCCTCTAGTCTTCGTTACAAATCTCACTGTAGATTTTTTTTTTATTGCAATGAAATAAGTATTTATTTATTTCAGAGAAAATTAGATTATCTTCCTCTGAAAAGTTAAAAATGTGAATATTCTCTGTCTGCCACAGACTGTTTAAAAGTCCAAATGAAAATAAAGACAGGGAAGAAACGTATGCTGGATGTTATAGTCTCATAACAGGCACCAGATCCATGCTGATCAGCGTACTTATTACAATTCTACTTTTGGAGTGTAGTTTTATCAACAGATGTCAAACTTCAAAGCAACTACACACACACACACACACACCCCTCTCTCCCCACTCCTCCAAACAAAACAATCTAACTGCTGTGCCTACACAAAAAACTCAAACTGAAAAAAAAAAAGCTGGATAAACTCAACCCAAATACACACATTTCAGCATAGTTATTTCATCCTGAAAACCGACCTACATGGGCTTGTGTGAGGTAAGACCCATAGCATCCCAATACCCCAAACATTAGGATAAATCAAAGCACTGTAATGTTACCACTTACCTGTCTTATAAAGAAGTCTCCATGGATTAATGAGACAGTGCCAAAATTAGTATACTTAAAAATATGATCCATCAGCCACATCATCTGACGGACCACCTGAAAAGTTCAGAAAAAGAAAAAAGCTGAGTAACTATGTGCAGAGAAGCATGCACATACAAGTCATGGAGAAGCAACAGAACTAGCAAATGCATGGAAGAAAATCCTTTATGTGTCTATGCAAAGTATAAAGCAACACAAGTGCTACATTTTTCCCTCAAGAATGGTGTTAAGCACAGAGTGCATTTTCATAAGGTAAGATGCAATTCTACACTGTTACCCACATGCTGTAGTCATTTCTACTCAGTGTTTTTATGGGAGGTGTGACACTTCTTACAGATGTGCCATCACAATCTGAAGTCATCTGCAGACTAAAACCATTTTTGGTGTTTGTTAAAAGTCCATAAAACAACATGAATTTGTGCTTGAAATCTCTAAGTGATTTATGTCTGCAACAAAACCAAACAGGTTTTCTTACACATTTTGCACTTGACAGTTTAGGGATGAGGTCATTTTGTTCTCTGCTGTTGATTTGCACATGCTCCACATGTGCTCCCTATAATCTTTGAACAGTGCCATCACCAAGACCTATGCACAGCCCATATACCATTGCTAGTTTCTCTCACAGCAGAGCAACCAGCCACATGCAGCTGACAATTTCACTAAGACATGAAATGCCTCTTCTCCTGGCCAAGCAGCATGGTGAGAAAGCAAAAGCAGACAGGGAACCATTAGAATCACCTCGACCATCACTTCTATAGAACAAAGAAAGGTATTTTAAATCTCAAAAACTGATATCAGTGAGAGAATAATCAATAAGGGAATTGTCACAGAGGTAAATAACAGAAGGGGAAAACTTCTGCCTCCAAGGTACTTCCCCTCTGTAGCTCCTATGTGCATACATAAAGAAGGGTGGGAGTTGGCTCTCCAACACTGGAAAAATTTAATGCCTCTTATATGCTTCCCACCATGTATGAAGCTGGCTGCCTTCACACTTCCCTAGCTTAGAAGACCACACAGAGACTGATCCAAGTTTAGTGAAATTTAGATCATGTAACAAAATACTTTTCCATTTACCACAGTCAAAAAAGAGTATGGAGAACTATGGTATTTCTCTGATAGTCAGAAGATTTTTTTTTTTTTTCATCTTAAATGTGTAATATATGGTTGGCATCTTTCATTTGTCCAAGATACATAGCTTGGAGGCAAAGGAAAAAAAATGCATTGTTCACAAATGAGTTGACTGTATCCACCATTAAGGTGTAGCCTGCACTTCCCTTCAAGCCCTAGAGGCTTACACAGTATCTGAAATACGCGAGCCCCAAAATATTCAACAGTAATTCAAACAAAATAGTTTGATACAGCCAAGGGTGGTGAAAACAGGTAAAAGCCACATCTCTGCATGTCTAAGTCGCATTTGTAGGAAAAAATGATTATACTTCTTGCAGGAATTCTGAAAAAAGCAAACAGCCACAAAAAAAACCAACCCAAAACACCCACCTTGATAATCTGCTGTATCTATCTATAATTGCAGTACCAGACTTTCTTTCAAATACATCTAATAATCTCTTGGAGCACTCTGATTATCCATTCTTCCTTTTGACCACAGAAGCTATAAATGAATCCTGCGTTATATGTTTAGAGAAAAGTAACTACCACATACTCTGTTTCTTTTCCTTGTCCATAAACAACTGTGGCCAGATGCTTAGTAAGGTGACGTTTTTACACACTTAGAAGAACAAAACTACCAAAGAACACCTATGATGCTTTATTGCCTTAGACATAGGGCTGACCTCTCAGCTAAATCCGAATGTTACAGCATGCAGTAAGAACCACTCAGCTTTGGTGAGTTTTTAGTATCAGCAAACTTTCTGTTTGAAGATTTTGGATAATGCAGGAGTACCGGTTCCTGGGCCACCCAGCATTACCACAAGTAGAAAAAGAAAACCATGCTTGAGACAGGGGCAGTTCTCAAAGACATGAAAAGTCACAATATCATCAGTTCACATCCACACATCCAGAGAATAAATGTCATAGGGAAATGCAACTTTGTGACCATCAAGTTAAAAATAGCACTCAGATTCCACTAATGATGTTTTAGTGGAATGCAGTACCCATATGACTCTCTGTTCACCTATTACTTTGGCTTTTTGACAAATATCGTTCTATTCTGTTAATTAGAAATAAAACCAACATAATCTGCTTTGCTGGAGGAGATGAGCAAGCTTAATAATCTGCTTCCCTGAAAAGCAACAGTTTGAGTCTTTTGAGGGGTCACCCCATGAGCAACATGAGCAATGCTGAGGCTCCTCTCCTCCCAGACCACTTTGTATGGCTGCATATCACCTAGGCATTTAGCTCACAATTTCAGAGGACTTCATTTCTAACACAAAAGTTTATTATTGATCTTCAGAGTCCAAAGTCCATCTCACTGTGTTCCAAGTGACACAGAGCTTCTAACCAGTATCCTTGAACATGCAGTTTGCTGCCAAATGGGCTACAAAGAGGCAAACTCCATAGCTCAATGATTACAAGTCTGCCAACAAACCTATGCAGTGGGGTAGAGAGTACAAAGAAGAAATAAATATTTTAATGCGTATTAATTCATGAACAACAGACACACACACACCCCATCAAAAAGGGGAAGATCAAAGGGTACAACACAATCATCTTGTTTGCAATCAAAAGGCAAACGAGATTATTGGATATTCATTTTGTTCCACGACCAAAGGCAGAACAGAAAAAGCTGCAGGAGAATGGTGGTGGTTTTTATCCTCAGGAACAAAACAATGCTTATCAGAGGAATCTCTTATCATATGCATTTCAAGTAGGCTAAGCAAAGACATTAAAAATGTTTTGAACACAAAATCATAGGTGTTCATGGACAGAAATAATTTTTGGTCTTTTTTGCTCCACCCTTCCTGTTTAAGCTAAATAGAGGATGTTGATAATAGTTTCTGATGTTTTAATAGGAAATCTAGGTGCCTCCCATTGACAGGCTCATTTTGATTTCACTCTGCACAGGTTACATAACAAAGCAACCCGAACAGACAGACTTTCATTTTCAAAGCACTTGCCTATAACAACTATGAAACTCAGATGTGCATTGAAACTTGCACTAAAACAGCTACAAGCTGTATTTTTTTTTTCCCTCTCCACTGCGCTCATTCTGCTCTTAATAAGAACAAAAAAACTCAGTCAAATTTATCAGCCCTAATCCAGGCAGAAAGCACTAACGGGAGCATTTTAACCTACTTTTTAACATTAAAGGTTATGAGACCTCAACCAACTTACTAAGAGTTTAACAATTCCACAAACTGGAACAATTTCTAGAGCTATATATAAGTGTGCTCAGGTCGCATCTGAATCAGCACAAAGCTGGTACTGTGTGGCTTATCTTATGGCACTTGTTAAAACAACCCATGCCAGCCCTTCCACTATGTGTAACTTTTAGCTAAGTTCCACTTCTCTAACAGAATATGTTTTCTTTACTCACCTAAGTTAATCTCACAGAGAAGAAACAGCTTAACAAATGTATTTGAACTTTGTTTAATAAAATTGTTTGCTTCAAACAGATGGGGTACACTAGCATTTATATATAAGCAATTGCTAGGAAAAAATGCTAGGAAAAATACATCACAGTTCCAGACCTGGCCTGTAGAAAACCTATTGTCAAACTGCAAAAAAATTTTGGCATTCTACTTTGCTACACAGAAGAACAGAAGTTTGTCTTAAATCAGACACTTCTGATGTCTTAAATTAACAACAAAAAAGACAGCAGCAGGGGGATGAATGCTTGTTGATTATAGCTGGATTCAAGTCCATGCTGCCTTGCAAAGGAGAGCAAAATTTCAGACCACCATGGAAGGAAGTTCTGCCACTACCATGTCAGCAAGAGGCCAGCTCTGGTACATGACTTCACATCTCCATGCACCCTTCTGTGTGAAATGGAAAGGAGCCTCCCACCTACACAAAGTACCTTGAGCTAAAAAGCGTCACTCGAGTGGTAAAAAGTGTTTCAGAATTAACACAGCTTAGCTGTCCTAAACAAAATGAAAGCAATTGCTATCTTGTTACTTGCAGTTGAACATCAAGGTTACAGAGGACTTCATGCTTAAATTAAACTGTTAAAAAACAAACCCAAACAAAAACCTGTCTTGTTTAAATAGTAGCTTATTGCATAATGATTTTTTTTTCTTCCTCCAGTGGTTTCAGAGTCTCTCCAAGACAAGACAATTCTCCTGTTCAGAAATACGAAGCATGCTATTTAAAAATACCTGACTCAGCAAGTTCCATCAAGGATAAACTATTCTGATCTTTCTCCTTATTTTTAGACAGTTGTATCACTCACACAATATTTTAAGCATGTGCTAACATTTGTGCTCTTTTATTTATTTGTTTATTAGCTAAAAAACTATTAAAGCCACTCAAGGCTCTGGACATGATTATTCCAAGCACAACAACGGAAACCCCATAAGTGAAACATGCAGATTTCTATGGCTGCTTTGCTCTACTGAAAACCCACAAATCTAATGCTCCCCATACTGAAAGTTGTTTGCCACCTCAACACCTTATTCCATTTTTAGCATCTTCTACACTTACCAAAACTCATTCTGTTTAAGCTGAAACTTTTTAGCTATGGAGTGAAATAGGATCAATATGGCTTAGATTTAAACACAAATATGGATATATAAACTAGGATACATACATGTGAAAAGGGGACAGACTCTGACAGGAGTTTTGACAGGACAAAGGAAAATGGTTTCAGACTAAGAGGTGAGATTAAGATCGGATATATGGAAGAAGTTGTTTTTTTTGTTTTTTTTTTTTTTTTTTTAACTATCAGGTGTGTTGAGGCACTGGCACAGGTTGCACAGATTGCCCAGAGAGGCAGTGGATATCCCATCCCTGGAGACACTCAAGCTCAGGCTGGGGGGGCCCTGAGCAGCCTGCTGTAGGCATCCCAGTTCAGTGCAGGGGAGTTGGACTGGATGGCCTTTACAAGTCCCTTCCAATTCAAACAATTCTACAATTCTATGAGTCAGTTAACTTCTATGATGTTTAAATTATGAGACATCAACAGTCAAGACTATATGACATACATATCCATAGGACTCTATCCTCATAGCAGTATCTTTACCAAGATTGTCCTATGTATAACTTTAATGAAGAGAATTAAAAAGTGTTTATTCTACTCATTTAGGTATGTACAATACAGAATACCATACATACCTAACTTCCTCAATTCCCAAAGGAAATAAAGCAATTAAAAGTACTGTTAGAACACTATCTTCTGTAGGCTACAGCAGAAAGAAGTTAGTATCTTCCATCACCTTCAGCAAGATTTTCATACTTTTCAATTCAAAGACTTGAGGGCTTTTGTTTATTACATCAGTTCAGCACAAGTAACATCTGGGAAAGACTACAAAAACTGGAAGAAATGCAGTGTACACACAGTGTGCATGAATGTACATTAAGAAGAACACAGTCAGTTACAGGTTGCACAGATACAATCACGAGCAGCTGTTGTTTTCCTCATTTCCCCACAGTATGATGGCAGGAAAGAAGTACATTAAGACAGACACAGCTGATGCAGCATTTCAGCTTGCCAGGCATGTACCTACCCCTCTGCAACCTAAACATACATACCTCCTACATACTTCTGAGGGAAGTTACTTCCAGTTTCTGATTTTCTACCAAAATCCCATAGCTGCTTCTGACTTGATGAGAAAAATTCTACGTCAAGATAAAGTCACAACCTAAAAGCTGTACCCATGTTGGTTTGAATAAAGTTGGTACGAATTCCACAGAGATATATGGTGAGAGGAAGAAGGACATGATTACCTTCAAGGAGATTTGCTTCCCTCCATGCTAACCTAGACTGCATACTGAGTCAGTTTGTAACTGACCTCTGAAGGCAACACAGTGATCTAAAACCTTCTCCAATCTACTGTCACATTAATCCAAAACCTGACCAAAAATTTCCCGTATTCAGAGCCTTGTGATTATTTGATCAATTAACACAAATGAAAGTCATCAGCACTGCACTCGGATGCAGGCACACCCACGGTTACAATTTACAAACAGAAGCTATCCCATTCCCCAGTTGTAGCCTACCGTGCCTTTATCCTGAAGGCACATCATCAGAGTGCAGACATCACCCGTTGCTTGATGGTTCACCAGCACCACAGCTTCATCTTCTGATACCGCTTTAACATCATCACCCCATTCCACTACTATTAAAAAAGAAAAATAAAAGGTAAACTTTACAATGACCACATTGCTAATTTCACTATTAAAAACTAAAAAGGAAAAAAAAAAATCCAAGACCTCCACATCCAGTAATAATGAAGAAACCTACATGCTACATGTGAATTTAAACTGGCACATAGCATAACATACGCTATATTAGCAAGACCATTTTTTCAAGCAGAGGGATTCAGCTTAGTTGTAAATCGCATGCACAGAATAAGAACAAAACAAAAATACTCTATCAGTACATACACAGAGAGATTGATCTTTTTGTGTCATTACACTATTCTATATTTAGGGTCTCTAAATTACATAAGCTTTTGACCCAGCTTTCAAATTTAACTGACTCATTAGATTTTTTTTTTTTTTTTTTTTAAATCAGGTTGTAAGAAAAAATGTTTACTTATTTATTTATTGCTAAAACTCATCAAGTTTGTTTCATTTCTACATTTGCTACTATCAAACTATGCTGGTAAAAGTAAAACAATAAAAAATATTTAGTTGGAACATTCCATTTAAAATACTTCATTAAAAAAACTTAGTCATTCACATCTAAACAAGTCAGCTACAGGCAAGAAAATAGGTTCAGAGAACAAGCTGCTCAGATAACAGAAACTATTAGTCACAGTTTTGTAGACCAGAGACCAGATACTCCAGTGGCAAGAATGACATCAGGATGAAGCCACAGCTGTTGATCATCCAGCATCCCAACTCACTAGCAAAAATGTGCTGAAGTAAGGAGGAATTAGAACTGCATCATCATAAAGTAAATAAACAGAAGAAGGCCTCCTGCAGAAGAGCACAGGATGGAAAACTGAAGAGTGTCTGCCATAAATAAAAGCCCAGCCTGTGCCTATTGCTGTTACCAGAGCAAAGAGACCAATGTTCAGAGCCTGGCCCTTTTCAACAAATACAAAGCTACTGCAACACAAGGGACAGGATGAGGGAGCCTGAGCAGTTCTGTGAAGTTCAACAGGAAGAGGAAGATGCCTTGCCCATGCATGTAGCACACAACTATTTTTCTGGACTCTAAGAATCTCAAGTGCTTCTCACTGGCTATATTTCCATTTCTGACATCAAAGGAAATACATCACCTTCACTACTGGATCTTTAGTACCTTTAAGGAAGGTTTTATTAACATTCTCCAGGCAGCAGACAGCTCTCTTTCAAGGACAATTACGGGGTTATGCTTCCACTGCTGTTTCCTAAGCTGTAGTTTAACTGATGCAAAACCCACAGGCTACACACTGAAGGTGTGAAGCAATAAACCACGTGTCGCTTCCCTGTCCTTGAAGAAATTCCATTAGCATCATACATTTGAAACTTGCTGTATCTATTAACTTCTAGCAGTTTCGAAGTTAGTACTGAACTGAGACAAACACAAGGTTTAATACATAAAAACATTCTATTTGGTCACAAGCACGTAGAATCAAACTACACACAAAGATGGGAGAACCTGTTTATTCCATAACATTAACCTCCCTACCTTTCCTTGACAAAAACTAAGCATGGATCCTTCCTCATTTCTCTTAACATGAGCTCTGAGGATCCCCCTTACTCTTGTGGAATAATCACAATGTGACTTGTCCCGATGTCTTCCTCTAGAGATATGATCATATGATTCTATGAGATGTTACAATATTGAGGAAACTTCCAGGACAGAACACAGTGAATGTACAAAGAACCTGTTCAAGAATGGCTCCCCAGGCAACATAAGGTGCAGCCCTGTGGTTGGCAGCACCAGGGTAGCTTGGGGCACTGGTTGACAGCACAAAGAGTGGAACAAAGTAGTAAACTCCATGGCCAGGCTTTGATAACACCAAAGGGATCAGAACTTGGTGGTACCACGGAACCAGTAATCATCATAGTTGTTATCCTGAGCCAACAGTTTTTCTTAGTTGTTGTTGTTTTTGAAAACAGGGCCCTGGGTGAACTTTGCTTACTATATGTTTATTGTAATAGCAAAACACACCTCCATCCCAAAGGCTACCTGCCTCTATCCCTCACCAAGCACATCCTCTTAATTTTTTATCCTACACCATTAAAAGCAAAGCCAGAAGTAAGCCAACCAAAAATGACTAGTCACTAAAGCTCCACCCAAAAGTAAGAAAATAGTATAAAAACAGCTTAAAAGAGGAATTTCAGGGAAGATCCCATTACAGGCAAGTTAGAATGACATCACTGACAGCTGAGACCAGTTGACAGGCTGAACCTCTCCCTGCCCCATAGGGACACCTCTTGGGTGAGACTCACATGCTCAGCGGTACCAAGTGCTTCCCTAGGAAACTCAGAAATTTCTACAGAATTGTTCCATGATCTGTGGTTGGCTGTATATCCACATTCCTGGCACCTGCACAGGCACTGCAGACAGTGTATTTATCACCAACAATCGAAAAGAATCTACAGTCTGTTGCTCCAATAAACAGCACTAGTCGTTAATCTAGCCATGAAAGTTCTCATTGAACGTGGCCCTACTCCTTTAGTGGAGGCTGTATTAGTTCAGTCAAATGTGACTAAGCTGAAGGTGCACTGTGCTATTTGTGCATCCGTACTCGTGACAATTCATAAATGAGCATTACTCAGAATCCAACCCAAGCTGCCCCCAGTCCCTCTGACATCTGAGGACAAGCTGGAACACAAGGGGGTATTTCTTCTGCCAAATCTTCTTAACCTTTAATGAAACACAAAAATTAGCATCATGGACAGGACTGACATGGATAAACTGCTGCCCTTTACCAGGCCACGAAAGAATGGACTCAAAAGTTTTGGAAGAATGAAGAGAAGGTGGCAGAGTGCACTGAATTCATTCCTGGATTCCTTAATTCCTTAATTCCTTAATTCCATGGAAGGCACAAAATGGAAGCAGCAGTCATAGCTGACCATGTACCTTACTTATCAAGTATTTCATGTTCCTGTGCATGGCAGCACCCAGCTACGCAAAAAAGTAAGATGAAAGAAGAACTGGAAAACATATTAAGAATGTACTCATTTTGAAATCATTACCTCAGTGTCTTTATCACATTGCCAATATACAATAGTTCAACTTAACTGCAACTTTCCAGAAGCCACAAAAGCGGAGTGCTAAATATATTGAGCACCTACAAAATAAGGTGGATAACAAGCACCTAAGTATTACCACATAATGTGATTTTATTTCTAGATCACTCTGTGCTATAGATACTTCCTCGGATCACATCAGTTCACTCTATTAATCATTTCTAATATACAGTAGTTGTGACTTGACTTGGAAATTTTCAGACAATGGAAAATTCAGAAAATAAGCTTCTGCCAAAACACTGAAGATTTCACCTACTCTCGTTAAGGTACGATACACAGCAAACACAGCCAGCTCACAATGCACTACCGAGTTTCAGCTGCAGTGGTATTAGGAAACATTCTCCCAAAGAGTGGCCAGGCGCTGCCCAGGGAGGTGGTGGAGTCAGCATTCCTGGAGGTGTTCAAGAAACTTGTAGATGTGGTACTAAGGGACACGGTTTAGTGGGGAAATATTGGTGGTAGGTGAATGGTTGGACTAGATAATCTTGGAGGTCTTCTCCAACCTTGAGGATTCCACAATTCTATGATAATACAAGGCAAACTCCCATCTGGCTCACAATATGCTACCAAGTTTTACTTGCAGTAGTTGTAACAAGAGGGGTCCTGCTTCCATGTAAAGATGTTTGATTTAACCCTTCAGTTGATTTTCAACTCATTTTATCTACCAACTGGTGGGTACTCAACCTTTGTACCCAGTAGACAGGAAGTAATGTACTGAATCACAGTGATTCAGTCCTACCTCCTCGAGTTCCTTTCCCCTCTGTCATTTCTCCTCAGGCAATCAGACTTGTCTCTTGTGTTCAACATCACCTTATTGCCAATTGATTGAATTGATTAACAAAGAGAAAAGAATCAGTTACTACAAGTCCTTCACATATCATTGCTGAATGGGAAACAACAGTAAACCACAGAAGCATGCACACAAACCACTGCTGCTACCACAATTTTTCTAAAAGAAGAAAAACCTCCAAATATCGAGCTTAAGCTCACAGTGCCCTTTAAACTCAATGGAGGAAGAAATGCCCATCTTATATTTTCCTCCTGTGTTAAAATTTTCAAAACAAACACCTTTTCCTTTAAGAAATACTGTGCCATGACATTCCATTCCAATCAAAAACACTGAAATCAAAACCTCAGGTGCATGGCAGCAGAACCAGGAACCGTGCATTGCTTCACTGTAACAAGACAAAAAAGGTTCAAAGGCAAATATTTCAGGCTCGGGGTGCCTGAAAATCAGCAAGCAATCCTCTATGACTTCCTTCTATTCCCAAGACACACTCTATAATGCTACAAGCTGTGTCTCTACAGCCTTGCAATCGTTAGATTTCTGCACATGTGGTTTCATGTAAAATAATATAATATAAAGGCAGGCAGGAAAAGGCCAAACCAGCCCATAAAGTTGACATTACTTTAGCTTGGTTATTGGAAATCATAGTAAATTCAGCATCAAGCAAATCTGGTAATCCTGATTAGAAATGAAATCTTTTACCCACAGGAGTGACACAAAAACGGCTTTGCTGCAAGAGAGGCTTCATCTGGGACATAGTGGGAATCTGGGATTCTCCAGTGAAGGATGAAGACACAGCACGCAATGGCAAATAAATGGACAGAAAGATTTATCCTTCCAAGTCTGAAATACACAAACGTCTCTTTAAAGCCAAGAATATATTTCATAAAAGAAGCTACAAAGTGAGATTTTATGAGCTAATCCTAGCAAAGCTTGAAGTATAAAACAATTTAAAATGTTTGGGTTTTTTTTCCACACTGTAGCTAAACCACTGCACATCTAGATGTAGCTTTGGAGAGCTTTCAGAACACTTGGCTGCATAACTGCATGCAGGTAAGTGATGCTATGAATAAATATTCAAGCATTTTAATTGCAGTATGTCATTAGGCTAGGCAAATCACCACTCAGCTAACTAGCAAT